ATATTGGATTTCCAAGAAAGAAAGCTGAACAGGAATTCTTATCTATCACGAAGATAGCATCAAGGATGTTCACCCATGCATACCGGAAACTTGACAACCTATCCCCATTTCGGACGCCACACAGGGTCCAGTATTAGGTAGGCCTACCCTTTCTCCGTGCCCTTAGGATGGTAACTAATGGAAAATGAGAGGTTCAGATCTTTATTTTATCTTTTATCAGTCTGTTAAACTCGGCTGATAAGGTTACAGATCAGTTTCCTTTATTGAGCTAGACCATGAAAAAATAATGGTACCATTATTTTCTCTTGGTTGGGGAAAACTATTTATACTTGCAACTCATTTTTCCAAGATAACACTGATTACCTGAGTTTTGAGGAAGATTGTTATCCTGTAGTATCTGTCTGTTCAAATTATCAGACAGGTGATCAAATTTCATTTATATCTGCTTTTGTCTATGAGGAAAATACGTTAATGATTAGATACAGGTTACCGCTATGTATACAAATTTGCATTTCTCCCTCAGTGTAAGATTCATCTTGTTTATCAAATTTCATTACCTAACCTGAGGCATGAAGCCATTGTCTCTATTCGATTCAATCGAAAATTTAGCTATAAAATTTTACTTGTTACCAAAAACTTACACCGCTATTCAGGTGCCTAGAAGGGGAGGGTAACTTCCTGCTGAAATGAGAGGGGTAAGCTAGGGAAGTAATGATAAGGTATTAAAAAACAATTGAGGCATTATTCTCGCTCTTATTTGTCAAACATCTGTCGTAAAATCTACATATAGCTATGTTTGTAAAGTTAAAATATGACACTTTCTATCAACTCGCGGGTGTCGTGTTCTCCTAACATCCCAAGAAGTCATTTCCCCAATAAGCTGCTGGTAGAAAGTGCAGTCGGTCTACGACTTGAATGATTTGTGTTTTGGTATCATATAGGGTGTTTTAAGCCAAAGTGTAAACCTGCATGAAAGCTTTTACTCCGGGATGTGCTGGGACACTAGTTAAGGAAAATTTCCGTTTCGCAAATCTAGCTACCCAAGTGTTTTGATAGAATCTATACTTTTTACTTCCGTTAGCAAATCTTCCACAAGCGATAATTTCTGCATGGTTTTTGAAACCCATGTGTAAACTTCGGTCTTATCATCATTCTTTCAGAAAAAAATTAGTTAAATCTAGAATACTTCAATCTATAAACATCCGTACTAGAGGTGAGACTATGAAGGGTAAATTTACCCTAAAGGCTTGCTTGATTTTCAAATTTGGGGCAGAAAAGTTTAAAATACTATTGAATAAAGGCTGATAGTTTCGAAAGAAACTGTTTGGGGCTGCGTCGTGGGAGTAACGAAATAATTTGGATATATCAACAAGGTTGAAATGGTAAATTGGCCACCGTAACGATTACAAAAGCTGACGTTTCGAGCGTTAGCCCTTCGTCGGAGCGAATAGAGGAATTGTGGGTTGAGTGTGCTTTTAAAGGCAGAGAATGGAGCTACGTT